TTTAATAAACCATTGTTCATTCACTGCTCCTGATATAATGTTTTATACCTCTTGTTCCTTGAAGTCTCTCCGAGCTGAAAATTGCACTTCGTTCCACACCACCTCCACCCCTTCCTCTGTGTCCATGGCCAGATAGGCCACATCAATGCCTGGCACATCTCGCTGTGTGACCTGAGTTCACAGAAAAGAGAGATAAATACACACATCAAAATTCTACACACACAGACTGATAAATCCTGCTTTCTTGACTGGCTTGCCGAAAGTACTTGTATAAAACCAACGGGGAAAGACAGAAACAAATTGGCCGCAGCTGGACTTTGAACCTGCCACTTCTAGAAAATGCACTTTAAGTACACGTACGTGCACAGCATATCAACTGAGTTATCAAGCATTATACCTACCGGTACTAATACATGCAATATACACGAACTTGTGCATGTACATGTACATAAACTGTACATGTACACTGCTAGCCTGCCAATTTCTTAATACTGCCTCAGTTCTCAGGGTATTGTTTCCCAAAAGTTCAACTGTGTACTACATGTACATGTACAGTGTGTACACTGTGAAGATTTTAGCTATCGTACAGCTGCTACCGGCCTACCTGCACATGTGGTACCGGTACATGCTGATTCTACGACAAACCACGTATTGGTGCGTGCCCACTGAATGCCCATTTAAAGCACATGCTTTCCAAACTTTGTAATACCAGTACACTTCAACGATCACTCAAAACCAATCATTTTGTCGACAAACTCTCGGAGACCTCTCTCGCTGGTTCATACCAGTATTTGTTATTTGTTACTTACTGGTACATGTAATGAAAACGGCCCAGTTTAGAACCTGTTCTGAAGTGCAATCACCCATCACAAACTTTTTGAGTTGAAAGACTCCAGGAGTGGCCATTTAATATGCATGATTGAATGGGCACCATTTTGATATGGATCGACTGTATTACACATATGAAATTTATACATGTGAATGTATACATGTACATCTGGCTAAATACATGTGTACATGTACATATGTCAACCACTTGGCATATATTTGGGCCTCACTGTTCTCATGAATTCTGATTAATGCTAACAACATGACACTAAGCAAAAAGAAAAAAACAGAGAGAGAAAGAGTTGTGTTTTACTCTACATGTACTTTGCTATGAGAACCTGCTACTGTTCCCTTCACCTGTCCCTCTCTTTGGACTTCTCAAAATTCCCCATGAAACTTGTGCACCACCTGCTTTTTTGCTTTTGCTTTGAGAAAGATTCTGCTGGGATCAAAACATCAGGCCCTCCATTTTGAGACCGTAAGAACTTCTCAGTGCAGGCATTGCAGGTCACCGGTTCACATCCTGCTTGGCCATTTTATTTAAAACTCTTCCCCCCACCCCCGTCCCAACAAAATGCAAGTGTACTACCAACTAACCCTTCCAAGTTTACTTGATAATCATGCAAACTAAGGCAGATAAAGAAGCATCACACAGCATGTCAGATGATGCAGCGGTCCCATGTTAGTTGTCATCATTAATCTTATACAAAATGGTTATATGGTAAGGTAACACTGCACTGACATGCATACCATGCTATCTATGGTCTATACATATGGTCTCATTTGAAATACTTTATGCACAAACAAATATACACCTTTCCTACTGCAAAGAACTTAAAAAAATCCAGCAGACTGTCCCACACAGCTTTCAATGCTTCAACAAATTTTAACAGAAAATTTTGGCACAGCAAATACTGCTTGTCTGTGATTGGCTGTGTACCAGTTGTTGCTTAACTAGAAATACTGCTATTAAAAAGATCTCTCCTAAACAGTTTCATTGAGCAGACCAAAAAGCAACCCAGTATGCAGATAGCACTAAGGGGGCGGGGCCTCCACATCCAAAGGAAGGCCTCAATATTCGAAGGGAGCACTCACTGGGGTTGATCACAGCTCCAGTTTGTGCTGTCTCCAAATCAGGGACTAAGAGCACATATAGGAAGGGGAGGTGGGTGGTGTATGGGGAGCTATAATTTGTCTCAGGTCACCAGCAGCTCATTCCCTGTCAATTCAACAGCTTTGGGGCCTGATCATCACGGATTGATGTACACTGACATGTACATGCAATACATGTATCACACTTCAAGGAATATTGTATTTGTGAATATCGCGACATTTTTGTCGGGAATATTGCGGTACCAAAAAAAATGCAATACCGCCCATGCCTGTGCACCTGGCGCCAACGTTCTGATGTGTCTGTCTGAATCCATGTCTGCTAGGCTCTGTATCTCATGATGTGGTCATGGCGATAGGAAATTGTTCAGGGACCTGAATAGACCTCACTGCTCATCAGTTTGTCCAGATGAAAGGGGGAACACCGATGACAACCACATCATTCTCGATTTCTCATCCCAGGCTGACTGCCATGACCTTAACCTGCCACTGTATGCAACGCCTTCAAAAGAGGGAACACCTCTACAAGGTAGAAATACTAGTACCAGGATATGGCAACAGCAAAGATCGTATAGCGCCACATAGCGGCGCAAGATGGAGAACTTCACCGCGAATACACGTAAAATGTAATCGCATAGGCGCCATTTGAGCAAGCGATACGCCTGCGCAATTCACATTACTGCGTAGGCGCAGGAGCTGCGGCAGGCACATACACCTGGTGAGCCTGCGCTGAAGCATTACCGTAAACCACGCAGGCGTATCGCTTGCTCAAATGGCGCCCACGGTAGAGGTACGTTTTGGGCGGAGTTATCCATCTTGCACCTTCAGCACTATACGATCTTTGGGCAACAGTACCAACAGAAAACTGCTCACTTTATTACCACTACCGGTATCTTAACCCTCATGTTTTCTTAAAGTACAGGTACCTTTGTACCTGCAACACAATCTAAGAAAAGTTGTGGTGAACCATAGCAGGAATGAGACCAAAGTTCAGCTAAGGAGTTTGTTGCATGGTGCAGCACACCAGATAAACACGTGCTTCACATGTACAGTGTGTATAAACTCAAAATGAAGATACCAGCACCTGTTCCAATTGCCAACCTTGCGTTTATGTTCTAATACCCGGTATCCAATGGTTGCATCAAAGTATTTTGCCTTCATTGGCACAATCCCCACACAAACCCAATTTACCGACTACACATTCAGTCGATGGGAGACTTGAAGACGCTGGTGGCAGCAAACATACATTTACATGTACCGGTCCTTTTTCAAGGTATTGCGCATGCATGCAACATGTGGTTTCCATAAACAGGTAGTCACGTAACATCCGAGAAACAGGAGTTCATTTTTTGGACCTGGAATATAATTGCCAACTACATTATCACGGTTTGAAACCTACAACCCAGATGTACTTTTTAAAAACTCGGCCTTCGCTGCTGTATTTCACTGCTAAAGAAATAATTTGTTCTTAATTTGTTTCCACAGCCATTCTGTTGTGTCTGCAACCCTTGGAGTTCTGTAAAGCCGAAGTCTATGCCCCTTGTTGGAAATGGATTCTTCCATGCTTCAACAGCTCTTGCTTAGAATTTGCCAAACAAAACATCACATGCCAGATGTCGTCAGGCATGTATTTTCCTGCTTGCTGAACATGGAGTTTCCACACGTTACATCCGCGATGCAGTTACATGTACACCCACCAAAAGTTTGTCGGAAGTAAATTTGGCCACGAGAGACCGGTATCACTGATTTCAAAGTACAAGATCGCAGAAAGAATGAATCTTTTAATATTTACAACACGTGTAGTGTGCTCAAGTTCGGTAAATTTTCTATTATTTACCATTTACAATTGATCAGAAAAAACTCAGACAGTTCCAATTTATGTCCAGATCTTGTTATTGCAATGACCGTTAGTCCCGTTACCATTATGTAATAACAAGGGTGGTACCAAAAACCCCTTGGAGGAGTCATACCGGTACCTTAAACTTGTACATAAACAGGTTTTAAGCATTTTCCAACCGAAAATGTTAACCAGTTATAGTTAATTTAAGCAATCATTCCAGTGACGGTGTTACTATCTAAACACACAAAAAGGAAATAATGGTACCTGCCCAAGTATTTCCGAACCCCCCTCTCAGGTCAAAAATGGTATAATCTTGTTGCTAACGACTGAGCAATTTCGCGCTGAGAGGAACCGTGCTAGCGAACACAACGTATTGCGTGCAGGCAGGCTGGTCCTGGTTTCCCCATTCGTCTCCCAAAATGACTTCATGTACCAACCCTGATATTCGTTCTTGTGATATGGGCAATTCCAGAAATAAAGGGTCCAAAAGTGTGACACTGTCGTGTCCCTGATACCATGGTTACATCTGGCCTTTGTTATTTGACAAGGAAATATCACCAGAACTGTTTTCAAACTATTACTATTTGTTTGGCATGTAATTTGCATTAATTTATCACTCTTGGAATATAGAAAACATGTTAGAACTGAACTTACAAAATCATTTGTCAGATCTGTGTAACGGGCACACCAAAAAATGGCCCCTAATTTCTGGAATTACCTTGGTATATTCCATTTTTTACCATTTTATTTTTGTTGGGATACCGGAACTTGCCAATATTCGAACATAACAAATGAATCTTCATTTATCTCCGCTGAAACTGTGTGGTTTTCTTGTTACATCCACAACCCACTGCATGATGCATGATACCCGAGTATTTCCTTGTCTGCCTAAGTTATTGCAAAAGTATCACTAGTTATGAGAAACACAGTTACTAATGTGTCTGAACTTGAGAGAAAAATGACACAAATATGTGAATTTGAAATTTTGGCTCCTCTGTCACTCTTTGTTCAATCCAACTTAATGGAATGACTCGTATTATTTGGTACACATGAGTGCCAAAAAAAAGACAAAGTTCTGTTTCTGCTATGATGAATATTTTTAGCAAAAGAGATATTTTTGTATTATATGAGGTAAACATATGTCATACATATATGTTAACATATATATAAAGAAGTTATCTTGTTTTCCATACGAAGAGCAACAAAATTCTACAAAACAAACATTTCCAACAGAATGTGGTGTAGTGAAAAGCTTTTTGGTAAGAAATAGCACAGCTTCCCTTCAAGAATTCCTGAATGCAGAATCCAATGAGTAAACATGTCCTAACAACAAGCCTGCAGCCCAGACCATGCCCAGACAGTTCCCATGAAATTGTCCCCCCCAATGTGGTTGACAA